GCTGCTCACCCAGACATGCCCAGTCAAGAGTCCAATTGCAAGTAGATTAGAGAGACATTATCTTCTAGATAGTAGCCTTATCCGCTGGATTTCTCACAGGATCTGATGGTCCTATCTAATGGTTCTTCTCCAACAAGGAATTAATCATCCTGGATCAGGGCTGCCAGATAGTTATTGGCATACACAATAAGAGCAGAGAAATAAATACATTTTGCTATTCTTGTTGCCAAGATGTGATCTACAGTGTGGGCTTTTATTCATGTTTGGTTGGATTTCACTCTTCATCTTTCTTCAGTAATGCTCTGGGTATCTCTTCTGGCACTTCTCCCAGAGTTCCTTGGAGAATCAAAGAGCACTTTGGGATTGACACAGTTGAGAGGCCACATAGGAGCAATTCAATCCAAGACCCCTATATCACCTACCCATTCCAAGATGCGATTAATTCCTTGACCAAACTGCCTACCAAATTTTCAAGGGTTAGGATTAGACTCTCTCTTGAAGCCCCACAGAGTCCAGTTGATTGAATAGACCAATTTAGCAGATCCTACCACTCTGCAGGGGTAGCTACACCAGCAAGCCAAAAAGCAATCAAAAAATGACCTGACCATGATGGGGACCAACAGCAGCGTTCTTCACTGCCAGATCATGTTTCTACTGCCTTGAGACAAATAGGTGTGACAACTGGTATGTGTTGAACCTTCAATAACTTGGGACAGGTTACCAAAGCAGCTCTGAACTCCTGAGTTGCCCCAGAATAAATGTCTCCACAGGCTGGTTGAAATTACTGATTACCTGGCAATGAAGTCTAGCAAATTGACCAGGGATGATGTTGGGCAACAGAGAATGTAGTACAGCAGGAGCTATCCCAAGTCTTCTTAGAGCACAATTTGATCCAGAGGGTCTCCCTTCCTATGGGACACAGCTCTAAGGACAGACCCCCACATAGAAATAACCATCCTGTCTCCTCTCTCCTGGACTCACAGCTGATGCCTAACTTGAAATCCAGCTTGCATATCTTTGAAAAAGAATGACACCCCCCCATCCCCCACCAGGCCTACCCAGATCCTCATTATATACAATACAGTACAATAATTTGGCAACCTCATTTTGATTAAATATCAATGAGAACAATTTATAACAAAATTGCATTGGAATTCAGAAGTAACAGCTGGAGCCTGGGGCCACCAAGGATCAAGTGACTTGGCTTTAGGGATGAATATTGAAGGATGGACAGTGAGATTGCTCACAATGTCACTGACAACCCATTCTCATATTCCTGTCTTGTTCTTGTCCTTAAAAAGGAGCAATGAAGGTTTTGGGAAAGCTTTTAAGATTCTGTATATTGACATTAATAAAAACAGCAGTCCTAGAATCCCTCCGGTGTCTGTTTCTTGACCCAGGCTATCTCGAGGGGCTGACATACAAAAACTTCAGTAAAAGTTCAGAAGAAGTCTGGTGGCACCTTTTCTGATTAAGAAATTTAATGAAAAGGCATGCACTTTTTAATGTATTAGATTTAAACTGTGGTGAGGTAACTTACTTTTGCACAACCACACTTGTCTTCTCCTCCCTTATTTAAATCTATATCAATCTAGCCTCTGCTAAAGTGGGCTGCAGCTGATGATGCCTTTTAATAAAATGTATTAGTGTGAAAAAAGTACCACCTTCTCATTTTTACTACCATAGATTAACATGGTTCTCCTTTTACAAAGACTGCAGTAAAATATCTTTAATACTAATCTTGGGAAAAATACAGAGCTTTGGAAACTACCAGAGGAATTTCCGATCTCATTTTCAGTGAATTCATTCAACAGGTAGAGTCTCTGAATAATTTGAAACCCTTCTTCCCAGCTTTCTTGTCACCTGGGCTGATCTGTTATTTATTAGACTTATTACTTATGTTTATTGTCCCTTCTGTTCCTTTTTCAACCTCTCAATCTCTCACACTATTTAGGGAAGGTTGTTTTCTAGCCCATAAAGAAGCCGTGGGATATATGCATACTTTAAACAGACAAATAGCTAGGTAATTATTGCAATGCTCATTTTGGCAATTGTTGAGTAATTCTTACAATATTGTTTCAATATTATTTTAAATGATACATGGATCTGAGACATACTTCTTGGTTGAAATGAGATTGGAACCAGGATTTCCTGAATAACAACTTTACTGGTTAGCCACTAAATTTGTTCCATATATGACTTTCTAGACCCAGTTATATGAGATTACTAAGGAAAACAAATCCACCTACTTTTTTTCTTCTTTCTAACTGACTTTGGGTTCAAGCATTCCATTTCACAATTTCCAGGCATCAAAGGTGCTTTTTACTGTTGTACATTTACACTGACATCATCAGAATTTCCACATATAATCCCAAAGCCAGGAAAACATTGGTAGAAAATGAAGCTCTGCGGTGCAGCATTTTTCTCCTATTCATCACTACATTCATGTCATTCTACATAGATCTCTTTCCCCACTTCCACTTCCTCCGTATTCAAGTTTGCCAAACAAAACACAACAAAATCCAAGTACTCAATCAACTACCATATAAGTAGCGACAATATCATAGAGCATAGCACCTATTTGCAGCCTCTAAAGACACCCCGTGCGAGGCTACTAACACTGGATAGCAAACTATTGAAATTTACTAGAACAATACAGCCTCTGCTAGACCTAATATCCCTAATTTATTACAACCCCAGCAGAACAAAAAAGAGGCCCAAAAAGTTTGCCCTGCCTCATCTACTTCATCCCTGTCACATCTTCTACTTCCTTAAAGGCTGAAAGCAACCAGAGGAAAATGCAAATTGTGGGGGGGCAGGAAAGTTCCCCTGTTCTACCCAACTTCACAGTGTTCTTCTGTGTTGATTCAGAATTGTTGGTTTCTTTCATCAGAACTGGGAAAAAGAGATTCAGTAACTTTTACGGTCAGTAGAGTCAATTAGGAAGAATGTGAAAGTACATTGGCTTTCTCATGTAGAACTGCTGCAAACATCCAGATCACCATTACAGAAAATTCTGGTTCTTTGTTCTCACCTGCAGGCTATAAAATATTTTCATCCAGATACACTAATCTTATTTTTCTAACTACCTGTTTCCCCGAAAATAAGACCGGGCTTATTTTCTTTTGAGCCCCCCAATAAGCACTAGGGCTTATTTTCAGAGGGTGTCTTATTTTTTTCTCCATATATGGAAGTCCCACTTCTGCTTGCTTGTGGGTGGGGTAGGAGGCCACATGGTGCATCAGTGCTGCCGCTGCGAGGCAAGGTGGTGATGTTGCCCCATGCACCCTGCACTGGCTTGCCTCAGGCTCCACAGTCAGGCTTCCCATGCTGTGATGTCTCACCTTGCAGCAGCAGCTCCAACAGTCCCATCCAGCAGGACCCTGCATGGCTGCCAACCCACTTCTGTTTGCAGCTGCAACAGAGCAGGAGGCTGGTCCCACAGTCATGAGCCGAGGCGTGGAGCTGCCCCATGCGCCCTGCACCGGCTTACCTCAGGGATCCCGCAGCCTGACCATCAACAGCCCAACACCTGCCTTGCCTTGTGGCCTCAGCACCAACACATTGCTCAGTCTCCTGCTCCGTTGCAACTGTGAGCAAACAGAAGTGGGCTGGCAGCCTCCTGGGCGCCTGCTACACATGGCTGCTGGTGCTGCTGCCACAAGGCAGATATCAGAGCATAGCTGGTCTGGCGGGGAGGCCCTGAGGTAAGCTGGTGCGGGGCCTGTGGGGCAACTCCACTACCACTCCACCTCACCTCATGACCATGCACTGCAAGCAACCAGACAGAACGGCTGGGTGGATGGCTGTGCAGGTTTCTTAAATAGGGCTCATTTTGGGGTTGGGGCTTAAATTAAGTGCATGAATAAAACATGCTAGGGCTTGTTTCAGGATAGGTCTTATTTTGGGGAAAATGGGTCTGTAAGGGTATATATTCACTAAAATGGGCTCATAATGAATATTCAGAAAGTAAATCTGCCCAAAGCTTAGCTATGTTAAGAACCATGTTTTCCCCTGATGCAACAGCAGTCAAAGGGGATTAAGTAATAAAATTTCCCTGTCAATTATGGGTTGGTCTGCATTATTTATTGAAAGGAGAGGGAAGAATGAAGAGAAAGAATAAACAGAGGAAGGTATTACAAATGGAATGGTGTAACATTGGGATTATTATCCTAAGTAAACAACCTCACCTTGGATTTGTTTACCCATCCCAAGTGACTTATTTTCACCAATTTTAACTCATCACTGTCAGGTCCTTGAAGATTTCCACAGAATGTTCTCTGTATAGAAATTGGAATGTGCTCTGGTTAACAAAAGATAGATATGGCAGATTATCAAGACCCTGCTCTCCTCATCATTGGCTATGATAGCACGGTCTTCTGGGAGTTAGGGTTTAGCAACTTCTGGAGTATTACCAGATTTGTGGCACAGTGCTGCACAATAGTAACAAGAAAATCCTGATATACCCAGTCCCTTCTTTGACCACTTGTGGAGGTGTCTTCAGATATTTCTACCAAATGAAGTAAGATGGCTGGGCACAAGAAAGAGGCCGCCACAGTTTTGGGGCTCTGCCTTTTGAAAGCTTTCCTAAGAGGAGGCACTTTTACTGCAAATTGTTATAGGAATTTACTTTCTTAATGTCCACTTTCTGTAGGGATAATGGCATTCATACATTTTTTTTCCATATTCCCATGCTGTTTATTGCTATGTTTTAATGTTTGTACTCTTGCTGTTTGAGTGTTTTAATCACTCTGCTGATCTCAGAAGCTAAGGAGAGTTGGGCTTACTTAATACTTGGATATGATCCCACCTGGAAGTTCCAGAGAAACTGGCTAAATGAGGAAATAGAAAACAGTATTTCAGAAGACAGCAAGGGCATATCATGCCAAAAAAACCTACAAGAATACAAGGCATCCACCCAGGGTTAAGGTGGAATTGAGGGTATTTTTACCTTTAGTTTGTCTGCCAGGGAATTTTCTCTCTGAGTAGTTAATGTTTAATATATGCATTGCAACATCTGTGACATTCTGAAGAATCTAAAGTGGCTTAAATTCTTCACTAAACATGCCAGAAATTGAGGCTGCTTGGAAGTTACACCTCGAAAATATATTTCCTAATTTCAGATGTGTCAAGGTTAGTTTTGCTTTCTTACCGGAGATTTATTTTATGGTATTTATTTAAAGTGCCCGAAGCTTTCACAGAGGCTCACATTATTAGGTCAATCAGAGTAAGGGGTCATTAACATGAAAACAATAAACTTTAAAGAGATGTGGGTTGGCTCTTCAATTTACTTCTTCCTTCTCTAGCTCACAGAGGGGTTTCTCCTCATTGCATATGTACTGGGAGGAGGAAGCGATCATTCTTCTCTCCCGAAGCTCAAATTCAGGTAGTTCTCGACTTACAATTCATTTTAGTGACTGTTCAAAGATACAGTGGCACTGAAAAAAGTGACTTATGACAGTTTTTCATGGTTATGACTTTTGCAGCACCCCCATGACCATGTGATCAAAATGGTTGCACTGTCACCTTTTGCGACCTTCTGACAGGCAAAGTCAGTGAGGAAACCAGATTCACTTAACAACCAGGTTACTAACAGCACTTAACAACTGAGGCAAGAAAGGTCGCAAAATGGGGCAAAACCCACTTAACAAGGGTCTCACTTGACTACAGAAATGTTGGGCTCAATTGTGGTCATACGTCGAGGACTAACTGTACTTTGGCTACCAAATAAGAAGACAGGACTCATTGAAAGACCCCGATGTTGGGAAAGATTGAAGGCAAAAGGAGCAGAGAATGAGATTTTTAGTCATCAACGTGGTGGCCATGGGCTTGGGTGGATTTCGGGAGACGCTGGAAGGGGGTGGTGGCTGACATGCTATGGTTCATGGGGTTGTGAAAAGTCAAACATGACTTAGTGGCTAAACAACAAAAAGTTACAAATGGTTACTTTCAGGGAAGATGAGATCTCCTAGATCACTGAATGATTCTGTGAGCAACTCAATCTGCCTGCCTGCTTTGCCTGATTTTGGGTAAAAGTTGCTGTATTTTTAAATAAAAAAATCAATATTTACATGCATGGGGTGTTGTGAGTTAATTTTGTGAGTTTGCTTACTAGCAAATTTTATGTGACAGACTGAGCTAGCCAATGGCAGATAGATAGATCTCTGAATGAATCTGTGATTCTGTGAGCAACTCAATCTGCCTGCCTGCTTTGCCTGATTTTGGGTAAAAGTTGCTCTTTTTTTTATAAAAAAATCAATATTTATATAAATATTTATAATATTTACATACAAGCCATGCCCAGCCAGTCACATGACCACCAAGCCCCATCCACAAATTAGGCCACGCCCACAGAGCCAGTTAATGGTCCCTGGGATTTAAAATTATGAGTTTGGTGGTCCCTGAGGTCCAAAAGGTTGGCGACCCCTGTCCTAGAGCAACAGCAAGAAGCAAGATGTCATCTTTCCTTGCAATGAAAACTGCATCAGTTTTTCTTGCATTCCATCCCCTGCTCACACCACATACATCGAAGGTCTTCTTCATGACTGCGTGAGCATCATTTCCTCCAGAAAAGTACACCAGCATAAATTGACTGTGCTTCCAAAGCAAGACCAATGAAGGTTGGCTATCTTTAATACTTTTAATCTGGGACGCTGGAGAAAAGTGATTAGTAGATTCTCTCGTTTTGTTTCTCCCGACTAAGCATTATTCTTCCAGCAGATAAAACCATCATCAATTCCTCTCCCTAATGTATGGTGGGGCAGAGTTGTGTGGGAAAAAGTATGTGTGTGAAGGAGTCTTAATCACCTTTCACATGGCCGAGCTGATAGATCACCGTCACAGAGGTGTGTCCTTTCACTCAAGCTGTATCTGATCGTGGCTCTAGCTCTCTTCTAAAAGAGCACTAGACTTTTTTCTTTAAACATGTGTTCAGAAATAACCCAAACAACGATAGTAATTTATTAAATCAACATGCCACCTGTTTCCCAACGGTCATAAGAATGAAAGAGAGATTGCAATAAGTATCAGGGACATTCCTTTTGTTTCACTCAGTGGCTCCTGTGGGCATCCATGGCCTACTAGTTCAAATATTTCTGAATTAATGTTCTTTTGAAAAGTAGCCCAGAAGATGCAGAGGAAACATTAAGTTGTTGGAAGTTCAAACCCACCCCTCTCCTAGAAAAATGAAATATTTTAGGAATATACTAAAGAGGCAGAATATTTCCCCTAAAAGAGAAGTAGAAACTTAGAGAGACAGAAACTCATCCCCCCACCTTTGTTAATGGGCCATTATGGCCTGGGTCAATCTATTCTACATAACAAAGATCTACCTCCTTCAGGCAGAGCCATTGAATTGCCCTTCATTGCACCACCCACCAAGTTTCAACCAAACTTAGTACACAGACAACCTACAGAGCTAGCTATGACCTCTGACAGCAACCAGTCAAGATACTCTTCCTGTGCCCCAGGAAGTTCAAGGCCCAGAAAGGGCATCAAACCCAGAGATTCTCAGCATTTCCTCCCTTTTCTGCCCATCCTGCTCATTGATAAACCTTCTTTCCAAGCGGCTTCCATGTTTCCAGTGTCTTTTTCCCCACCTGGAACTGACCCCAGAAGGATATTTCTTCCAACAAAGTGAAGCTGAAATTTTAGGAAGACCCCTCTCACATTTTCCAGCTCCTGACAAGGTGCCTTCAGCTAGCTGGGCTATATATTAGAGGTTTTTTTTTTCAAAGCAATCTTTGTGCTACTCTTTATCCACTATTGCTGGTTATTATGTAGCACACCTTGATAGCACGACAAGGCATTTTGTTGCCTCCTCTGTGGCTGCTTTTCCGTCATGCCAGTTGTTCACCAAGAAAAGTACATAGTGGCTGGAGGAAGGAGCCATTTTGAACTTCATGCCAATGTCGAATGCATAGCGACCCGGATTAATAACATCTCCTTTAATTTGCCAAACTATACAGGTGGTCTTTGACTTACAACTCTAATTGAGACAGGAAAAATTTAATTAATTAATTTGTTTATTATTTATACCCCACCTTTATAATGTTTACAAATAAGGTAGTGAACATATCCAACACACCTTCCTCCTATTTTCACAACAACCACCATCCTGTGAGGTGGATTGGGCTGAGAAAGAGTGACTGGCCTGAAGTCACCTAGGTGGCTTTCATGACTAAATCAGGACTTGAACCCATGATCTTCCACTTTCAAGCCTGGTACCTTAATCACCAGACCAAACTGGCTCTTACAGATGTAAATCATGGTGCTGGCTAAGTGGTTCACCATGTGACTGTACTCAAATTTATTTGTGGTGGTCGATAAATGAACACGTTGGTCATTAAGCAAGTCAGTTGTTCCCCAGTGGTTACCTTTTGCCAAAAACTGGATGTAAACACCAGAAACCTGCAAAAGGTGCGGAAAATCATGGTTACATAACCATGGGGCACTGCTAACAACTGTAAAATGCAAACTGCTTGCCAAGCACCCAAAATGCAGTCATATAATAACCCTCCAGGAGTGTGGCGGTCAGAACTTTCAAAACGGGTTGTAAGTACCGGTAGCTCTGGAGAGGTCTATTGTAATTTTAAACAGTTGCTAAGCAGCCAGTTATTAAGCAAGTTTTACCTGTATACAGTAGTAAAACCTCCAGATGATGGAAGGGAGGCTTAGGGGCAAGATACAGAACATTTAAGTAATCAAAATCCACCTTCCTTCAATTCACTGACCTCTCTGAGCCTCCATTCTTTTTCACCAAGTGAAGGACAAGTGCATCTACGAATATGTTTTGCCATAGATTGCTATGAACTCCCTCCTTTTCCAACCCATTAGCCTTTCCTCTAGTAACCTGCATTGCACCCACATGACTCAGTCAAGTTCAGCTGCCATACTTCTTCCTTTCTGAAGTCTCATGAAAGTGTTTGTGGCCATGATGACTCTCTCTCTCTCTCTCAAAAAAAAAAAAACCCTCTCCTTGCTTCATTCCTTACCCTTCTGTAGTACCTCTGACCCGTTAGGCAGGTCAAGAGCCGCGGAAGAATGGTACCGGATAAAGAGGGAGCGGCTGTTTGATAACAAGCAAGTTCCATCCTCTGCCATGCTTGCCAAGAATTATCAGAGCTGGCAAGGAGCGGCCATGACCACTAGCGCCTAGAAATACTCTGTGGAATAAGCAAAACAGTTTAAGAGCTAGCAGAATGTTAACCCTAAAAGGTACGGCCATACAAAACAGAGGCAGTAAACAGCCCGTAATACTCTCACTGGTGATCAAAACCAGCAACCCACCGCTGGCCAAATGTGGCTTCCACTTTAACTCTCCCTTCCCAGCAACATGAGATTAGCACTCTTAAAAAGAACATTTTAAAAAAACAGGCCCAGTATTCTTTCAAAAGAATACTAATCCACATGTATAAGGAACCTGGATTATTAGCTTGTAAAGCAGGGGTCTCCAACCTTGGCTCCTTTAAGACTGGTGGACTTCAACTCCCTTCAACTCTGGGAGTTGAAGTCCACCAGTCTTAAAGGGGCCAAGGTTGGAGACCCCTGTTGTAAAGGCTTCAGAAAGTATCAGCAATTACATGGACAGATGTACTTGATTGGGTCTATAATAAAATCTGTCTAGGCAGGAAAGAGAAAGCACTGTATTAAACATGGAACAAGCAAGAGACTATAAGATGCCTCCCCTGTGGGCTGAGGATAATGAAGAAGCAACATTATAAAAATATTGCATTTAAAAATAGTTCGTGGGACATGTTTGGGCCAAAATTAGAAGGTTGATAGGAGAAATCCACTGTTGCACCCAGTATTGAAACATAAGATTCCAATGAGAGTTTCAGTGATCATTTTTGGCAAGCAACTAGCAAGAAATCCTATACTGAAAAGCACATCTAAAAGCCATATTGTTGTTCCTTTTTTTCTTTTTTTAAAAAGTGGTTACAATTATATTACTGGAAGCAAAGATGTTCTTATCTTAACTCTTGGGAAGAACTTGAATTTAGGCCAGTAAGATAAATAGGAAGGAAAGAACAAAGAGAGGGTGGATAAGATTTACTAATTCTAGTGGATTTCAATATTTTTTTTTCCTAGAATGGGAGTAACCACTGATAGTAACCAAAACTATTGAATTATTTTCTTGTCACTGAAAGATAGATGAATTTGAAAAACCTCAGGGCCAGATATAATAGTAAGGAAGCAAGATATTCCTTAAAAGGATTTGCAGAATGCAGATAGAGAGAGAGGAGGGGGGTGGGGAGAGAGAGAGAGACAGAGAGAGGGAGAAGATAGATAGATAGATAGATAGATAGATAGATAGATAGATAGATAGA